CCGGCACCAGCATAACCGGCCACTATCGCAATGGTGTACACCATCGTCGTTCATCTTTACGCCAAGGAGGGCAAGGAGGTCGAGGAGAAGCTGCGCAACAAGTTGATTGAAGCCTCGCAGGTGTATTCCAAGGACATCGAGACCATTGGCTGGCACGTGATGCAAGACCACCAGGATCCACGCAAGTGGTGCATCGTCGAGCGTTACGAGCATGAGAGCAGTCAGAAGTACCACCTGGAAAACCCGTACTGGAAGACATTTGACCCGTACGTCATCCCGCTGCTGGACAAGCCGATGGACCTGCGCCGTTTCAACGAGCTGGACACGAGCAAGCCCGTGCACGTCGAGTAAGCGCTTGAATGATCTAATGCCAGTGACTAGTCGATCGTCATTTGATGAGTGCAAGTTGACGACTCGTTTCAAGACGCTCTGGGAATCTTTTGAGGCGATGTTCGGGCTGCAGCGTCTTCACCGCCGGGAGAGAACGCAGCGGAGCTTGCGATGACGGTGACGGCTTAAGGCGTTGACAAGTTTCGCAGGAGCGGACCCACTTGCGCACCCACTTGTATAGGTGAGGCCAGTAGAAGTCGCGGGATACCGCTGCGAAAGTCTTCTCACGGCCCAAGTGGCCACCCACTGGAGCGTCATGGAATTCGTGTATAATTCTTGCGCGTAGATCGGGGTCGTTGGGGACAACGACGCGAGGAGCATCGAATTGATCGATACTGTACATCAGTAGATCACCGTCAAGTTGGTATCTGTGAATCTGGTCGCGCGTGGAGCGGCCTCAGTGTCTTTAGCGTGGCATCACTTGGTGTGCGAAGGTGTTCCAGGATACCGGCATATATCGAGTCATCTCGATACGCGGCAGAGATCTCTTCCCGCAGGGAAGTATTGGAGATACCGCCGTCATCAGGTTCACACCTGCAGCCACACATGTGGCGCAGTCCAATTTCGTCGTCGTCCGCGTCTTTCAAGTGACTGACGACCCAAATCTCGGCGTGGATCGTAATCGGGGCGCCGAGATAGGGCATCCGCAAGGATGTTATTCTTGCCTGGCTTGTAGTGAACGACGAAGTTGTACTCGGAGAAGAATGACAGCCATCGTGCCATGCGCTGAGAGAGATGAGGGCTCTTCGTCGCTGTTCGCAGCGACGCGTGATCTGTGTAGATCGCGAATGTCTGCTCACCGAGTAAGTACACTCTGAATTTGATCAGTGCGTAGCGCATCGCAAGGAGTTCCTTGTCGTGGACCGGATAATTCTTCTCAGCGGGCTTCATCTGTCTGGATTGGTAGCTCACGACGCGTTCGCGACCTTCGTCGTCGAACTGCATCAGTGCACAGCCGATGGCGAAGTCGCTCGCGTCGCAAACAACGTGGAATGGCTTTGCATCATCTGGAAGCGCTAGGATTGGGGCCTCTGCCAAGCTTTTCTTCACTGCATTAAAGGCTGACTGATGTTCGGGAGTCCACGACCACGTGATGTCTTTCTTCAGCAATGAAGACAATGGCTGGATCAGACCAGCATAATTTTTCGTGTACTTGTGGAGATAATTTGCGAGGCCAAGCCACTGACGCAATTCAGTCTGATTCTGCGGCGTGGGCCACGCACAAATGGACGAGACCTTCTCAGGATCCGCTCGGACACCATTTTTGCTCACATAACAGCCAAGCACCGGAATCTCCGGGGCACAGAAGATGCACTTCTTCAAGTTCGCGTACAGTTTGTTTTCGCGCATGACTTGGAACACTTGTCGTAAGTGATTTAAGTGAGATTCTGTGGCGCTGAGATCGCCCTCAGCGCGGCTGTGAACGACGAAGTAGCTCGGCGCGAAGTCGCGAAGTGGGCGCAGAACGTGGGAAACCATGCGATTGAACGTGGCTGGTGCGTTTTTCAGGCCCTGCGGCATGACAAGCCACTCCCACAGCATCCCGCTGGGAGTGCTCACCGCTGTGAGCGGGACGTCGCTGAGTCGCATCAAGATCCGATAGAAGCCATCGGTCAGGTCGATGGTGCGGAAAATAACACTGCGGCCCATGGTGTCAAGTACCATATCCTTCCGAGGGATCGGCGTTTGTGCAGGAATGGTGGCGTCGTTTAGCTTGTTAAGAGCGTGAACAATGCGCCAACCACCCGTGGCCTTCTTCACGCAGAACGTCGGACTCGAGTGTGGCGAGGTACTCTCGCGCACGTGACCCGCTTTGCGGCGGCTCTCGAAGAAGTCGTCAATGGCTTTAACCTGATCGCGTGGGAGGGGCCACTGTCGCGTCACACAGTACTTGGAACCCGGCGTGAGATCAATCTCATGGCGAATGCCTCTGTCAGCAGGGAGCTCAGCTGGAATCTTGTCGGGAAAAACATCCGCGAGCTCGTGGACGGTGTCGTATACTGGATTGCCCGAGTCGCGGAGTGACTCCCACGACTGGGCAGCGAAGCGCTCTTCGCGCGTTGACTTCGGCTCAGCGTTCTTTGGACGAAGTGGAAGATTGTCGGTAGCGACCGTGTGGATCTTTTCCGCCGAGGCAGACTCGGTGAACGAGCAGACCTGCTCGATGTCTCCTGACTTCAGATCGCGCAGAGAATGCTTCCAGGAAAGACCCGGAAGGCGTGTGATGGAAGAAGCTTCGCGAGGTGGGCTCTCAATGTCAAGTGTGCGTGAGCGAACGACGCCTCCTTCCACGTGTTCCAGGACGTGTATGGACTCATTCACTGCGATATCGGCGGTGGGCTGACCACGTCGCTTAAGGCGGCGTCGCTTGGATTTCTTCTTGCGGCGTCTCGAACCGCTGCTCGAGACAGAAGACTCGCTATCGCTATACGAGGGATCACCCCCCTCTAGACACGGAGGGGCACCATCAACCGTGTCGGTAGTGCGCGGGAGCTCTCGATGCTCGACCGCGTCATCGACTGGCGAGAGCCCCTGCTCGATCGCCGTCGTAGCCGGTGGGAGTGTCAACTGCTCGACCACCGCTGTGGATGACGGGAGCTTCAACTGCTCGACCGCCGAATCGCGTTGCGGGAACCTCTGCTCAACCGCTAGAGTGTTTTGCGGGAACCCATGCTCAACCGCCTTGGTGTGTTGCGGGAACCCATGCTCGACCGTCGTGTTGCGTGACGGGAACTCATGCTCGACCGTCGTGTTGCGTGACGGGAACTCATGCTCGAGCGCCGTGTTGCGTGACGGGAACCCATGCTCGACCGTCGTGTTGCGTGACGGGAACTCATGCTCGAGCGCCGTGTTGCGTGACGGGAACCCATGCTCGACCGTCGTGTTGCGTGACGGGAACTCATGCTCGACCGCCGTGTTGCGTGACGGGAACTCATGCTCGACCGCCTGCTCGGATTGCGGGATCCCCTGCTCTACCGCCAAAGTGTTAACAACCTCGCTTCGCAGCGAGGGGTTTTCGCGCAACAGCGCTGTGCAAGACAAACAGAGAGGGCCATCGCTCGCTCTCTGCTCAACCTGCATTGTGGACAACCGGTCCACGACCCTGACATGGGGCCAGTCCTTCTGGGCAACCAGGAGGTGTGTGAACACCTCACTCACATCGAAGCCAGAGCGGTGTTTAACCGACCGAGCCAACCAGTCAATCTCTGGTTGATATCGTGACAACCACGGGATACCCAAGATGCAGTCGAACGCGTAGTTCATCTCAATCACGAGGAAGTCGTCGTTGCTGCGGAAGCCGTCGAATGTGTACGGCATCGTGATCTCGCGCCGCGCAACGCGGCGTGGCTTTCCGTCAGCAAGTTTGACGACGACCTGACCTCGACCATTACGGACTGCGATCTCTCTTGGAAGCATCGATAAGCACGATTCACGAAAGAAGTTATTCGACGCTCCTGAGTCCAGGAGTGCGCGAAGTGGTCGCCGGGCGCCGGCGACATGAAGACTGACGATGATCAGCCTCGAGTCGCCCGACGTGGTGGTGGCATTAAAGTGTGCGTGGAACACGGGGAGGGCTAGAAGGTTGGGTAGCCACCGGGGGACCCGGACCTCCGTTCCAGCCAGTAGGGCGCCCCGCACCTACTGGCCCTGACCTTTTTTTGACTGAACGGCAGGTGAGACTTCGGCGGTGTGCGCGAATACCGGCGCTGGCGCGCGGCATTCCGCCGCGCGATGACCGATCTTCCGGCAGCGGAAGAAAGTGAGCGGGCGATTAGGACGGCCGTTGGGCCCACGAGAAGTTGACTGACGGTGTCTATTCGACGCGTCAATCGCGTCGATCTCCATGGGCTCGGGGGCTGACTCACGAGCTGCCGTAGACATCGCGCGCGCGTAAGACGCCGCCACTACGTAGTCTTCGCGTAATGCGAGGGCGAATGCTTCCTCGAGAGAGGAAGGTTCCGCTCGGGTCAGGCAGTACCGTGTCATGCCTTCACGCATGCCGAATACGAATACATGGACCTGCGATGCTGTGTCAATCGGATTTGTCACGATGCATGACGCGAGGTGGCCAGTCTTTTGAACGTAGTCGCGCATAGTCATTTTACCTTGACGAAGGGCGAAGAACTCGGCACGCACGCGGGACTCGTCTTGAGGGGGCTCGAACGCGAGCCTGAGATCTTTCTGGAGGGCTTCCAGAGTGGGGATTGCTTCGGGATCATCGACAAGTTTACCGAGTCCCCATTCTTTGTCCTTCCCGGACAACCGGAACAATATGAAATTGACCTTTGTCCCTTGCGCTTCGATCATTCTCGAAGCAATCGCGATGTCGACCTCGCGAAACCACCGGTTCAGCGAGAGGCGATTCGCTCCTTCACCGGAGTAGGTAGACGTCTCTAGCTTCACGACATCATTTTTCGAGGAACGCGCGGGAGTTGTTGCTCGCCGATTCGCATCGGCTAGCTCGCGTTCCATGAACTCTTGGGCTGCTTGGCGTTGTTGGTCGGACGTCGCTGAGCTCAGCAGCGACGCGATTACAGCCTCACCAGACACCGCCGCGAGGCGGTGAAGGGCTTCCCACTCGACACGAGTGAGATGAGGGAAAGCAGCATGTTCCAGGGTCGGCCCTGGAGTTTCAGACGTCATACCTTGGCTCATCGTGAACTTGGTCATGGGAAGGACTACAAAGTGCTACCAGGTGTAACGGGCCTGGGGTGTCCGCTACTTGCTTACACGTAGTGATGAGGAAGCGTACAAGTTCAGTGATACTGAAACCAAGTACTTAGTCTGAAGGAAAATCAACTCTGTTTTTATTTAGGTCCAGGGCAGCTTGCCCTGACCCCTCAAATACACGTCAACTCCTTATTGGTTGATTATGGGTCTGGCTCCCCATATTCCAACCAATAAGGTGACGGCAGTTCAGCACACGCTACTCGTGTGCTGCTGCACCTACTTTTGTAATG